CTTTCAGCAGAAATGCCCTTCCCCTTCTCACAAACCGATAAACAACAAAATCCTGTTTGGCTTGGCAGATCGCACCCTCACCTTGGCACACGCTGCTGGACCAAATGTTGCTGCCTCCGGTTGCGCCAGATTCCTGTATTCCGGCAAAGGAGGGCAACGCAGGGCTCCTGCTCGGGCTGACACGGGCACACCGCTCCTGCCTGTGCGGCACACGCTGACACCGGAGCGGTTCTGGAGCGCACAAGGCAGCCAGGCTTCTCTCACAAATGAGTTTAGCCTGCAGAGGCACACGCAGCCTGCGCTTTGGGGTCGGCTGCCGCCGACCCGTCCCACCGCTGAGCGCTTTGTGCCTGGCCGGGGGGCTTGCAGCTCCAATGGCAAATTTGCTGTGCAGGAGTTTAATAGCTTTACATGCAAAATAAGCCAAGCTACAGCGCTTTTGAAGTGAAATACGAGACCTACAGCGTGTCTGGGCACAGAGGAGAAACACGAGCTGTCAAACGCCAGCACCAAATTTAAGCATGAAACGCCTTAAGTATGAAAAACACAACAGGCTTTTTTTCTTTTTTGCCCTTAATAACTTCAATTTGATTTCACATATTTAAGGAGGGGAGAGTCACTGCACTGGGGAGGTTTCAAACACGGCAGAAGTCCCTGCATCCTCCTCGCCTTGGGAAGAGCAAACGCCGGGTCGGCATCTCTGGTGGCTCCGGCACAGGTCAGAGCACGCTGGCAGGCAGAGCGACCGCAGGTGCAGTGCAGGCGCCCGGGAGTCAGGACTCGCGGCTTCTTTCCAGTCCTCTGACTGGATTTTCTGTGCGACTCTCAGCTAGTCACTTACTTCATCTACACTTCTCTGTGTACACAGGAGAGCCCTTGTAACGACCTTCCCTTTGTATTGCAGTACCTCTACATCGGGGAAAAAAACTAAAACCTTTCAAAACTACTAACTACTAGCTGGAGCTATTTAAGATGACCTAGCCAAATCAAGGAAAAAAGTTTACCATAGGGAGCCATTCTGAAGCCATCCCATTTCACGGGGAGAATTATGTAGGTCACC